CTGCTTTTAACTTTTCTGTCAAGCTGTGATCGGTCAATGTATATAGGTCAATGTTACAGTCTCTGATCTGAGAGAATATTATCTAATCACAGGTTCTGATAAAAATTAATGGAATTAATATGTATGTAACATAATTGATTATTATTTCATTTTTTCATAAGTTCTTAACAAAATATACAAATTCATTGTTTACTTTTTTTGTCTCAATTATTTACTCAATGGTTATGGATTATTGTTGGTTATTTACTCAATTAAAGTTTTCAATAATAATATTCAAAGTACCTGTTATTAAGCAAGAGTTTTGATTGGTTAGGTTGCTGTTATTATGGGTTTGTTTTTTGCAGTATTTACTAGGTGATTTGAGTCTGGTGGTCTATAGATGGAAAGGTGGTCTATAGATGCAAAGGTGGTCTATAGATGGAAAAGCGGTCTTTAGATGCAAAGGTGGTCTATAGATGCAAAGGTTATCTATAGATGCAAAGGTGGTCTATAGATGGAAAGGCGGTTTATAAAAGCAAAGGAGGTCTACAGATGCAAAGATGGTCTATAGATACAAAGGTGGTCTATAGATGCAGTCAATAAGTTATAATAAATTTTTTGCTTTAGTTTAATTTCACACCAGATTTAATTATAGAGTAATGTAATTGTTCGAAACTTTTTTTTCAGTAATAAAATATTTTAGAAACTCTGAAATAATTGATGATTGCAACAGTGAATATTTTTGATTTCATCAGCAGTTACACCTGGAATTACCGGCCAGTTAGCCTTTTTTAAGCAACAATAAGACAAGACAGGTTCAGGGTGATCACAATCACCCTGCTACTGGTATCATGTAACTCAGTAATATCTGCGTCATGTCCTACTTCTATTTAGGGTTTGCTTTTTTAAAGCAAACAATTAAAAAAAAAAAACAATCTCCTAGCAAAGCCTAGGAGAAATAAACTACAGCTTTGGGGCTCTTGGTTAATTAAAGGCTTGAGATATCTCAAGAAGATGTAGAAAGTATTTCTAATTAAAAAGCTTATCCACACTCTAGAAGGTATAGAATATACCTTTAGAAAGTGTCTCAATAAAATACCCATCTTAGACAGACGATAACTGCATTCAGCTACTGTTTTGTAGAAGACTTCCTTAACAAAGACTTTAGGGGTAAGCAGAATTGTTATAACTTGCCTTGCACCACTTCTTCATCTATTTAAGGCTGATGTAGATGTAAACCTGTGTTACTCATCTGGCCATTATTTTATGTGCTTCAGCTTTTTTATATTTTCTGATTAAATTTACCATGAACTTTTTCTTTATTCCTCAGCCAATACTATTGTTATTGGTGGTACTAAAGCCCATAACTTCTGTACTGTACTTACTCAGATAGTTAACTTGGCGGTTTGATTTTTAAAAAAATCTAATCAATTACCTTCACTAATTGATTTGTCTTGTCTATGACCCTGGCTTGTGATTAGTTTTCCTTGTTTTCCTTTAGGTGGTTCCAACCATGCTATAAAATTTTTTTAATTTTTGTACTTCATCTTCAAACTGACCCTATCATTGCACTATTTACTACTACCTTATTGCTTACTGAGATTTTTATGTGATTTTCTTTGTGAAAGTTGTTGGGCTTATGCTTTTTCTTTAGAGCCATGGCTCTGCTCGGGTTAGTTAATCCACTGTTTAATGTAAAGCTTAAAGGTATGAGAAAAGAATACTGGCTAAGTTACATTCACTAACCAACTTTGCAACAGAAACTGATAAAACAATTTGAAAAGTTAGTTTTAGCAGTAGTTATGAAAATGCTTTTTTCATTCTGCAGAATCAGATTCTAGATTGATAAGAAATGCATTTAAAGCTTTTCATGTTAGGGTAAGTGATGAGGCTGGAGTTGTTGGGTACTTTAATGCATTTCTTGCTGGTAAAGGACAAAGTAAGTGTATGCTTGCACCTTTTTTGGTAAACAATTTTTTTCGCATGTTTAAACTGTATAACAGGAATGTCACAACTTTGTGACATAATTGTCACAACAAATTATGTTTTGACATTCCTGTTATAGTCTTACAAAAGTGCTTACTAGAATTCTCTTTAATTTTATCAAAACTATTTAATAAGTGCTTGATTGAATCTTGTTTTCCTGCTTTCTGGAAAATGGCGTCTGTGGTTTCAAATTTGAAAAAATTTAAAGAATGTTCTGACACCTCTAACTATTGTCTGATCTTCTTTTTATTATTAGTAAGTTATTTAAATCTTTAGGCTGAGTGAATAAAAAAAAGCAATAGCTTTTACTCAGCGTTTTTGAAGTCATTACTCACCTTTACATTAATAAATTTTTTAGTGTTTTTGCTCAAATTTTTACTAATGTAAAGCTGAGCAATTGCTCCAAAAAAGCTGAGTAAAAGCAATTGCTTTCTTTTATTCCTCTGGCCTTTTGATCAACAAGTTTCTAACATTCCATCTTGAGTCGAATAACTTAATTTCTGATAACAAATATGGTTTTTGATCTTATCCTTCTTTGGCTAGCTAAAGTTAAGGTTCTTGGTGGTGGTGTGACCATTGCTCTTCACATATCTAAAGCTTTCAATAAAGTTTGGCATGTTTGTCTCAATAAGACAACTTTGTATGGTTTTTTAACTGCTTTATTAAAGTCATTCTAGAAGGCTAACACTCTTCTTCATTTTCAGTAACTTCTGAAGGTTAACTTCAAAGGTCCTACCCCTGGTCCTCTGTTGTTTCTTATCTACATAAATGATCTTCCTTACAATCTTACAAGTGGCTCTATTTGCTGATGACTCAACTTCATACAAAAAGTTTTCACTTTTTGATTGCTTAGAACAGGCAGTTGATCTGGAATCTGATCTCACTTAACAGATGAGCTTTTGAATATTAATTTTAACAAAATTCAGTTATATATTGCAATTAACTATTGTAATACTGTTAACATTCCTAATTTAATGAATAATCATCTTACAGATTCCTCTTTTTTACGTCTTTTTAGATAATCCTGATAATTTTTTGGATAATCCTTCACTATTGACCTCTAATGGAAACCATATATACAATGGATAGCAAAGTTAGCATCTGGTAAGGTTTCATTGTGCTCATCATTATTTTACTTCTCTACCACTACAAATGCTTATTTGTCCCTGAATGAAATACTGTTGTCATATTTATCTGGTTCTTCTATTGACGCTCTCTCTTATCTATTGAAGGTCTAAAATCAGATTCTAAACAGTTAAACTAGGTTTATCAGCTAAACTTAAGCATCTTTCTTTTCTACAAATATTATCATGGTTGCTGCTCAAAAGAGCTATCGTTTTTAGTTCCATCAACAAAAACACATTCTTGCTCTTTAACTCCATTCTTTGTTTTTACTAACTCCAAACTGTATAGTGTTTGCTTTCAGCCTTGTTGGAGTGAAATAGATTCAAGATCAAGAATAGAGAATATCTCAAAAATGAAAAAATGTTCTTTTGAAAAATAGTTTTAGTTATTCTTTTAAAAAACAAGTTTTTTACCTCTGAAATGTTTTATATAGCAAAGTATTTGTAGACTATGGACAAAAAGGCAACGTTTTAAAAAAACCAACTGATGAATGAAAATAAAAATTCTTAGGTTTTTCACCTTACCAGGTCTTTTTAGTATTTACCAGGTCTTCTTAGCACTTACCAGGTCTTTTTAGTACTTACCAGATCTTTTTAGTACTTACCAGGTCTTTTTAGTACTTACCTGGTCTTTTAACAACTTATCAGTTCTTTTCACTGCTTACCAGGTCTTTTAACAACTTAGCAGCTATTTTCACTATTTACAAAGGAATTATAATTTTATGTAAATAATAAACGCATGCTAAAAAGTAAAAAAACTAACAATGGTATCATTAAATAACATAAAATCATCATATTGTGTAACAAGATAACATAAAGTATTATAGTGGCATCATAAGATAACATAAGATATCCTAAGATAACATAAAGTAACATAAGGTATTATAATTAGGGGTGTACTGGAATTCCGTTCCGGCTGGAATTTGTTATTTTTAAGTCAATCTGGTTCCGGCCAAAATTACAATTTTTTAAGCCGGACTGCAGGATTTTGATTTTTACTTCTTTTTTAAGATTTGTGACACAGACTGTAAATTAAATCAAAATTTCATTGTACTACAGAGCAATGAAGAACTCTAGGTAAACCTAGCTAAAAAAAATAAAAAATTCTTAACAAACACAATGTAATTTTAGGTAAATCTAGAGTTAAGCAATCTAAAATAATTTTATTTTTTTTGCTTGTTGCGCTCTCGTCAGTGGAGACTTTTTAAGCATTTGAAGTTTTAATTAAAATAATAAACGAAAAAAGGTTGCTGCCCTATGCCTGACTCTTAGTCGATGTAGCATCACCTCTTTGTAGCAGCAGGCAATAAGATAGTCAATGTAGCAACAGGCTATAAGATAATCGATGTAGCAGCACTCTTTTTTTTCAGCAGGCTATAAGATAGTCGATGTATGTACTAAAATAATAATAATAATTTATGTTTATATTATATATATATATTATATCATTATATATATATATATATATATATATATATATATATATATATATATATATATATATATATATATATATATATATTATAGGTTATAAATATATTATATAGTTATGATGCTGAGGTGCAGGCTTTCATTATCAATCTTGAAGGTAAAAATTACATAAATATAAATCTCATTCCGGACGAAATTCAAAATTTCCAATCCGATACACCCCTAACCATAATCATAAGATAACATAAGGTATCATAATGGTATAATGGTATCATGTGATAACAATAGGTTTGAAAAATATTCTTGTTTTACTCTTTAACTATTAGACATATGTTGTTATTTATTTAATGTGTTATACTTATTATTGTTAATATTTTAATATTGTTTGATAATTGTAAACTTTTAGCACATAAAATTATACTCTTTTAATTTTTATTTAATTTTAATTAACTAGTTCAATCAACTAAGTTTTTTATATAGACTCTCATTGTGGTGATTTGGTCCAAAATATGTATACTGGTCCAGAAAATCATATTTCAATAATTTTACCACTTGGAAATAAAGAAGAGGATTACTGGTATGATCTCATTGTTAGAGTGGAAGATAAATATAAGTTTGGTGTTTCTCAAACATTTCGTGTCCAGGTGGGAGTTTATAATCTTTATTGGTATTGGTAACTAAAGTTAGATTATGTTTTTAATATAAATATGAGAGTAAAAGATGATGGAGAGTAAAATATGATGGAGAGTAGAAGATGTTGCATGTTTTTTCACTATTGTTATTGAATTTATTATATATATATATCATGCATTATGTGGTGCATTGTGGGTTTTTGAATCATTAGTGTTTTTATTATACTAGCAATAAAGTAGTTACAAAAAAAAATCATTAATTAATATTTATAATAAAAATATTTAACTAGGTAAAAGAGCCTGCCAGTGTGGACTACAATGCAGTAGGCAAGAGTATAGAATCTCTTGCTCAAAATAATGAACTGCAAGCTTTGACAAGAATGGGTGCTGCAGTAGCTTCTATTTTAAACAAGAAAGCATCAAATGCAGAATCATCAAAGGTAAACTGAAAAAAGTAAAAACTTCAACTCGCATAGTAATTGAGTTTAAATTGAATCAAAAGTTTTTTGTTCTAGAATAGGGAAATAATTTTAGAATCACTCAGCATGGTAAGACCTTGTAAGTTGTCTGAGATCAAACAAATAGGAGGAGTGCATATGCAGTTAACTCAATCAAAATATGAACTTACTGACGTAGCTCAGGTATAAATAAGATTAAATTGTTTTTTATTTTACTTACATTGCACAGTAATCTGATTTTTGTGTGTCGATTTGTTTCTGCAATAGAAAAAATCTGCAGAAGTACTTAGTGCCATGTCTGGTTGTATGACCCTCTCAGACCCACGCGATCCATATATGCCAGACACAGCAAAAACCTTATTTCGGGCTTCTTATAACATTTTAAGTGCAGGAATGTTAAAGGTATTTCAAAGATTTAGTTTAATAATGACCTGAGAATTTATTAATGATCAGATTATTTTTATTCATGTCTGTTTTTATCTGCATGTATCATTGTAGTTATTATTATCATTGTTGTTTTATTGCTTTTATCTTTTTATCTGTTAACAAGTGTTTAGATATGCACACATTTAAAAAATATGGTTAGTTTTTTAATAAAGTGCTTCATATTTATTTTTCTAACCTAATTACTTCAACTGATAGCCTTGGTTCTAAGGAAAAGAAGCCGTAAGGTCTTAAAATGGTGAGTATATATTAATTGGAGGTTTTAATTAAAAAACCAAAAAGTTTATTAAATTTAAAAAAATTTATAACAAATTGTTCTAAAATTTATAAAAATATTTTAAAATATACCAGAATTCAATTTTAATTTACAACCATTTGCTTCAAATTTTTTTATAAAACTTTTTGTTATTAATATATTATGTTTAAAAATAAAAAAATTTGTTTGTATTTATTTTTAAAAATTTTATATTATTCCCAATAGCAAAATAGCATTGCAAAGTAACATTTATTACAAATAAAAATGACTGAAATTGATTTCTAAAAATGTCTTTTGATAGTGGTGGAGGCACCAGCCTTGAGTTTTTTTTTAGAAATCATAGATATGATAAGTTTTTAGCTCTGATTTCAAATGTTATTTGTTTTACAATTTTTTATTTTTTTCATGTTATTTTATAGTATTTGTAATAATTATAATTTATTTTGAAATTGGTTAATTTTTATTAACCCTGCTAATTTTTAGTTTATGATCATATAAGTTTTTTTTTATTTATAAAAAATTTACTAGAATACATCAGATAAAAACAGTAGTGCTTCTGCCGGTAACATTGCAAATACAGTTGATATGATAGGTAGTGCATTTATGCGACAAATGGTTGCTGGAGACATGCCAGAAATTGTATCTATTGGGAACATTAGCATTAAAATGGCACAAATTCCTGAATATGCCGATGAAGATCATATAGGGTTCAAACTACCAAATCTTACGTCTGTTTTAAAGAATCATTCTGAGTCTCTTTTTAAATCTGGAAGAGTGGTTTCAGTGGGTGCAATGGTAAACTTT